CTGGAGAAGAAAGGGAAGAACTGAATGCTTTTGTTGCAGGTTGTTGAGCACATCAGAATAGTTGCTCAAGGTTTACCACCTCTTTCAAGTCATGATTTTCATTCCCAGTTTCCCATTTTCCTTAGCTAGACAGATTGATGTTGTGCATCCAGACTGACTCCTCCTTTTTCAGTGGTACAGTTGTGCATTTTGCTATTTGAAACACACACGTAAATTTATAATTCCCCTAAATATGTGGTTGAATAAATCGTTCCAGGGTTTCTTCTCAGTCATCGAGCTGGTGAAAAATGCCAGCAGCGTTGCTCAAACACTGCAAGAAAATAAACTCCTCCTTTCAGTCAGCTTCAGTTCATTTCAGACTGTATCCATGTTATGGACATCAATTACTGCAGCATTTGGCTCACAGGGACTGTTACGCCCAGAGCGATTCATGATATAAATGCCAGTGGGTTCATTATTGAACAATTTGATGTCTGTTCATTCTTTTACTGTTTCATAGCCTACAGTACAGCTTGGCAAAAGCTATTTCCAGAGGTATTCCACCTTTAGAAGAGACTCTTTTCCTATTCAACTCTAGTCCAAATGATCATTTGTTCTTCCAGCTTGCAACTTGTACCACTGTTATAGTCATCTTACCCATTTTCCCCTACGTTTAGTGGCCATCTCTTTCTATTTCTTTAAAGATATTTCTCTCCCGAAATCCTTTTCCAATAGCTCCATGAATCTATATGTTTATAGCCTCCTTTGAGGTAATTAGTACCTCATAAAGTTTAGACTCATCAAGCTTTTGTCTGAGTTTTGCGCTGTCCCCCCCCCCCCCCCCCGAGCTGTCTATATATCTATGCCCCTCTTCAGGCCATTTTACATAAATCACTTTTACACAGAGCAATTGTTACATGAAATGTGACATGAAGCAAATGTTGCATAAAACAATTCAGTGGACTTGAGTACTTTCACATCTTATTCCTTTCCCATTTTCATTGTCTCTGGCATGAGGCTGTCCTGACAGACAGTCTTATTTAGTCATATAGCCTTCCAAGTCGTGGTCTGCAGACCATGAGCTGTTCCTGGAGCACTTCCAGGGGGGCTGCTGGGCTGTCTCGATCACAGCAGCAAAGCATGTCAGCCTGCAGGAAACACTCCTGTGTGTTTCAGTCAGGACCCTCTTAAGGTTTCAGATGTCTCTTAGCTAATTAAGCTTAACTGAGCAAGCTTCTCTTTATCCACTTGCAGCTGGTTTGTGTCTTTATTTCCCCCAGGAGCTACTTTGGCATACGTTCACTCAGGATCAAGCTTACAAGCAACAGGGTCTTGGGGAGAGGTGGATATGCAACCCCAGAGCAAGCTGGGGCTTTCACAAAGCTAGTCTTCCTGGTAAAGGTAGTAGAGTGGAAGCCAAAACACTTAAGGCTCTTTTCCTAGCCCTGCCATGGACTGTGATCTCTGATAAGAAATTTTGGCATCCTGTTAATACCCTCTTTCTCCTCTTCTCCTTGGCAACATCAACTGCAGAGGCCCTTTGCGTCAGAATTGACTTTTGCTTTATATTTGTTCAGTGTTATTAAAAACAGTTACCACCTCCCTAGCCTTTAAAGTATATAGATATGTGCCCATATAGATATATTGCCTTGATAGACATGGGAAAGGGGTTGCCAGTGCAAACCCTGAATAACGGCAGCAATAAAGAAGAAGAAATTAGAGAAAGTTGGTCCTAAGAAACATGAATCGCTTGCCAGAAAACATGGGTGTTTGCATTTGCATCACTGTAGATCAGCGAGCTCTGGGAGACAGCTTCCTTTAGTTTTCTTAGAGAACAAAACTCTTGTTTTCTTGTTTCAGACAGATCTGTATCTCCGTGCTTCGGGTGTGACCCCACCAAACACAGCAAAAAACCCTTTCCTATTTATCCAAAGCTGAAATCTACATTTAAAAGTTCCCAGAAATACCGAAGCCAGATACAAACTGACTGCCTTGGGTCTCCTCCTCATTTCAAACACATGGGGTTTGTTTCTCTGCTCAGAGAATGAAGTTGTATTGAAGCACC